GAGGGACGGTGGGCTGGGAGAGAGACTGAGCATTTTTTCCTGAACTTGAATTGTAGCCTGTGGTGCTTCCCTAATAAACCCCATAATCTGTGAGCTCTGTGTGGCCACTGCAGTGAATTATCGAACCCAGGAGAGAGGTGGTGGGTGCTTGGGGAGGAAAGGTTAGAGAAAGGGCTAGAGGGAGGCAGCATGTCTGACCTTGCAGAATAGGCCTTGGGTTATTGATGGTGACTCTGTCTTCCTCTTGTGGGATTAGAGGATGTCAGAACATGTGGTCTCCTTGACCTTTTTGCAGAAACCCAGTGGGGGTCGCTACGAGTCAGAATCGACTCAATGGCAGGTGAGTTTGATTTTCTGGTTTTCTTCAGTATACAGTTAAATTTTTCATATTCAAATGTAAAAAAATAATAATAATAAAAAAGAGAGAGACTAATGAACCAAAATAAAAACATTAGGGATAAAAAGGGAGGAGAGGGTGTCAATGAGTGGATGAGGCTAACAAAGAAAGGAAGGAAACAGCTGAAGATTACAACACCTGCTAGAGTTCTCAACTGATATCACTTTTGAGATTTAATGCTTTTTAATATTACTTTCTCATTTTCTTTCTGTCTCCATAAGGTAAGACAGCTATGGTAAAGTAGAATTAGCTAACATTTACTGGATTGGCTAGTGTATGAAATTGCTGAAAGACGATTAAATAAAGTAACAAATAAAAGCAATTTTTTATATTAAATAATAAAGTTTAGAACAACAAGAATGTAAGCTTCATTAAGGCAGAGATTGGGTGGGGGAGGGTTGGTTGTTTCTTATTAGAACAGTGCCTGGCACCTAGGTGCTCAATAAGTATTTGTAAAATGAATGAATGAATAAATCAAAAAATTAAGTTGATGATTACAACTTTTTTTTCTCTTTGCTTCACACATAACTCCTGTTGAAAAGGATTAACACCAGCCACTCCTCGGAAGGACGGTTGGGCAATCCACTTCCACAGAGGTATTACCTCGGAAACCCAAGGAGGGGTCACTACAAGTTGAATAAACTCTACAGCAATGATTTTTTTTTGAGAGTACATGAGAGTTACCACTATCTCAAAACATCTTGAGATAGGAGAACATGGACAGCATTCAGTCAAATCCTTCAAATTTTTTTTAAAGGTTTTTAAATCTATACATTGGCAAATATATCAACCAGAAGGATTGTGGTATTTAAGTTTGTGTGTCAACTTGGCTGGGCCTGGTTAAGTGGCTGGGCAGCTGGATGTATTCCCCATGATGAGACTGGTAATCAACTCCATGGTGGAATCTACTGTGAGTAGCTGCCTCAGGGATGTGGTCTGCTTCCTGTATATGAGGAGAAGCCTTGGGGAATGGTCTCTAGCTCATGGCACACTTGAACCCTGCATGTAGCCGTGTCGTTCAGCAGCCTTCCATGCTCTGCTAATCCTGGAACTTTCAGTGGACTTGAGTTAACGGTCTGCAGTGTAGATCGGTAACATCTTATTTGCCTTTTTATTTGTCAGCCTTGGACTTGTCAGCCTCAGCAGGTAGCAACTGAGTGGAGAAAAGCCTTCAGCTTCAGTGGGTCAGAAGCAGGAGGCAGAGCTGAAGCCCAAGGTTGAGGGGCTTTCAGCCAGCCCCTGGAGCCTGGCACTTAAACTGGGACTTAAAGCCTCCAAACTGTAAGAGAATAAACTCCTGATGTTCAAGCCATATCCCATTGGTGGTATATTTCTGTCAGAGTGGCACCAGGTAACCAGAACAAGGATGCTTCAAAAAGTAGTGCTTCCACTAAAAACCAAAAACCAAACTCACTGCCATCAAGTCGATTCCGACTCACAGCAACCACCACTGGGTTTCCAAGGCAGTAAATCTTTAGGGAAGTAGATTGCCCCATCGTCCTTCTATGGAACGGCTGGTGGGTTTCCACCAGCCTAAGTCAAAAGCCTGGCACCACACCACAAGAGCTCTGAGGGCTTCCCCTAGCTCAAGAAACAGGGGTGTAACTGCAGGGAATTTAAAATCTTTAAATTGTCATTATCTCTTGGCTTAGTTTCCAGGTTCAAAAGAATTAAATTGTCAAGAAAGTGGAATTCAGATATTGACCATCTACCATTGGTAATATACCATCACTATCACACACAATATGATTATAAGCCACACTTTAACCAAAAAAAAAAAAAAAGGGAGGGGGTTGTGTAACTTCTAGCGAGATCTCTATGTAAAGGGCTTCCTCTAAGACTCCTGTTCAGGAAAGTGAGATGAAACAAAATTAAGAATCTTTGCTATATAGACCTAAATTAATCCTTCTATACATATCTATAGTTATATCTAGACAGAGATATAACTTTCAATTAATCCATATACATATTAATCTATCATATATACTTTGGTTCTAAAATATTCCCATTGAAAGAATTCCTTTTTTTTTTACCTGAAGATGCTTGTAACAGTACAACCAATCCTGTCGGTCGGTCTTCGGAGGAGGGGCCGCTCTGTCCACAAATAACACAATCATATACTGCCTCGGAAACTTGTGGTTCTGCTGTGGTTATCTCCATAGGAGTATCAGTCTCAGGAGAGTCTGAGGAAAAAAACTACAACTCTTAACTCCTAAAGAGAACTCTCTTTTCAAAGAAAATTGAAGGGGGATGTGGAATTAAGTTCAAATAATATTGAACTTCAATACCAATAAATTTATGTAATAATAAAACTATAGAAAAAAACATTTTGCTAAAGTAAAACATTTACTCAGGAAAGGTTCAACACAAAATGCAGAGTTGATAATAAAGAAAGACTTTAAAGAATACATGGTTAAATACACTTTTAATGTTGATGAGTCATTCACATATAAAACTGATACCAAAAACAGAGAGGCAAAGACACTTAAAACTAAAAGAAAGAAAGAAAACTATAAAATGTAACATTTTAAAAGATGAAAGATGATCTTTCAATTTTCCTTGAGACATTTAAGAGGGGAAATTTACTACAACATGGCAACAACTTAGAAAGAGGAGATCACCAAGGAAAAAAAATTTCTCATTCCGAATCCCAGCAATTACATCTCTGCAATGACAACTACCATTATATGTTCATTTATGTAAGACAATAATTTATATGTGACCATATTATTAAATATTAATTTTAAAAACACACTATTATAAATAATAACAACAATGTCCTAGTAGTGCAATTTCATTAACACCAAGAAATAAAATACTAAGTCAATAATGACTTTCAGATAAAGACACTTAAATTCATGAAGATCAATAATGCTGTTCCTGATAACAAAGAAATGAGTAGAGGGGATTGAGAAAACCAGGGAAACAGAAGATTTGTTTTTTTATTGTTTTGTTTTTGTTTTTGAGATTTGTGATAAATGAAAGCATATCTAAGTAAATATGTAAAGAATGTATGTTAGGGAAAGAAAGATGTAAGTTTAGATATTTTTATCAAGAATTCATGCAGATAAAACAAACATATATCTGGTATTTATTAACAATGACTGAGGGGGAAGAGGGCAGGAAACCTAAAATAGAACTTTGGACAACACCTATTAACAGAAACAAAAATCAAACCAACAAAGAAATCAGAAAAAAAAAAAATAACCAACAGCAAAGAATTGAATCAAAACCAGAAACACAAAATCTGAAAATGAAAGTAAGGGGTCAAGATGAAAAAAATTCACAAGAAAGAAAGTACCAGAGGCCATTAAGATTTGACATGAGACTACTTTGGATTTTACATTAAAAAAATTAAAAAGAGGACGTGAGCCTGATTACCCTGAAGTTCAAAGAACACAAAAATAGTTAGCTTAAAGTATAATGAAATATTTCAAATGCATATTATTCTAAGTGTCAAAGACATAGAATTTCATCAACCCTATCGTACATACCAAGTCGGCCCACAGATTTATGGGAAATAATAAATAAGTGGTTTGTTTTAAATCACTAAATTTTGGAGTTTGTGGCACAATAATTACTAACTAATATGATCTAATAACTAATATGATCCTACTACATGTTCATTATAATATGTGAAAGAACTGAAGTACTTTCCCTTACTAAGATATGTGAATCATGAAAGCTAGTATTTAAAGTAGTAAAGGCATTTCCATTGAGAAGATTTTCCAGTTCAAGGAATTGAAAAATAATTTTCCAATGATAGCATTTTAATATCTACTTACTCTACAACATTAATTTTAGTATCATTAAAGAGCAAAAAGCTTCAGTATTCACATATATTACACTTCCACTTCAAAAGTTTACATTAAGTTACACAGAACTTTTCATTCTAATTTTGGTTAACGTTGCTTTAAAGTTTATTTTCATATAAAATTGAATTTAATTACAAAAAAGCTTTGCCTTTATTTTCAACCTTTACAGTCACAAATTCACTGGGCTGATACAAACTAAGTGTGTGCAAAATAATCAAATAAGGCTAATCTTTTTGCTCTATGTTATGCTTTCATATTTATGGAGTTTTGTGGATAGATGGAGGATAGAATGGACAAATGACACAAGAAGGATACAGTTACTGTTGCTTGGTGCCATCGAGTTGGTTTCAACTCACAGCAACCCTACGTACAACAGAACGAAACACTGCCTGGTCCTGCACCATCCTTACCATTGCTGCCATACTTGAGCCCATCATCATAGCCACGGTCAATCCATCTTGAGTGTTTTTCCCTTTTTCACTGACCCTCTACTTTACTAAGCATGATATCCTTCTCTAGGGACTGGTCCCTTCTGACAACATGACTAAAGTATGAGGGATAAGGTCTGGCCGTTTCACTTCTAAGGAGCATTCCCGCTGTACTTCATCCAAGATAGATTTCTTCATTCTTCTAGCAGTCCATGGTACTTTCAATATTCTTTCCCAATACCACAATTCAAATGGATAATTCTTCTGCAGTCTTCCTCATTTCACTGTCCAGCTCTCACATGCATATGAGGCTACTGAAAATTCCAGGGCTTGGGTCAGGTCCATCTTAGTCTTCAAATGACATAGTAGTGTCCTCAAAATAATGTTAACTATTCTACTTTGATTGATAAGGTTTTCACTGGCTAATATTTGTCACTAAATCACCAGGCCTTTCTTCCTACTCTGTCTTAGTCTGGAAGCACCACTGAAACCTGTCTATCATGGGTGACCCTGCTGGTGTCTGAAATACCAGCATCACAGCAACACGCAAATCACCACAGCAGGACAAACTGACAGACTGGGGGTGGGGGTGGGGTGGGGGATTCATCTGTGCCTATATTAACTTAAACATGAATTCATACTGATCTAACACTAATCCATTATCAAATGGATCATTCTAGCCATTTCCCTGTTTGTCTGTAAAGCTCCTACTCTAACATTAAGAAACCTGGATCCTATATCCACCATCCATTTATTTAACTGTCCATTCCTAGTATATATGTCAGTGGTTTCAGAACTGTTAAGGACACTTTATCATCTAGAGTACAGTACTTATGTATATAGTTCCTTTCACCTTCAGTCTTACAAACTCCTCTCATTTCCAAAGTTACCTCATCAGACTTTCTCTTCTACCTTCTTCAGTGAGACTGTTCCATTCATTTGTAATACAGACAGAATTCTCTTGTCACAGTCTGAATTTCATTGTGTGATCCCCCATTTTCCTAACATATTTTTTTTAATTTTCATACATTAAGATTCACTCTTTCTGTTATCAAGGTCTGCTGGTTTTGACAACCACATAGTGTTATATATCCAACATTACAGTATCATACAGAATAGTTTCACTGCTCTAAAAAATCCCGTGCTTTACCTATTCTGTCTACCCATCAACCCTGTGAACCTCTAGGAATGAAGAGTCTATTGACTAAACAGTTTTCCTAAAATGTTATACAGTTGGAATCACACAGCCTTTTCAGATTAACCACTTTCACTTAGCAATATACATTTAAAATTCATCCACATCCTTCTATGGCTTGATAGCTCGTTACTTTTTACTGTTGAATAGTATTCCATTATATAGGTATACCATAGTTTAGCTATCTAGTAACTTATTAAACGGCATCTTGGTTGCTTCCAGTTTTGAGCAATTATGAATAAAGCTGCTATAAATCACACACACATTTCTGTGTAGACATAAGTTTTCAAATCAGCTGGGTAAATACCAAGGAGTGCCATTACTGGATAATACAATTAGGCTTTGTTTAGCTTTGCGAGACACTGCCAAAATGCCTTCCTAAGTGGCTGGACCATTTTATATTCCTATCAGCAGTAAGTGAGAGTTTCTGCTGTCTTCATCCTTGCCAACAACTGATATTGTCAGTTCATAGGCCTACAGTGGTATCTTAGTGCTGTTTGTAGAAGTGAGCTTCTTAATACAGGAAAGTTGATTATTTTAGAAAGGCATTAAACAACAGATGGGTAAGAGTATTTATCACAGAGAATCACTGATTCAGAGTGAAAAGTTTCTGTATTTAAATGTTTACCTAATAATGCTCTGTATTTGATTAGTGTATTGGTGAAGTATTGTACTGTAAATCTGAAATATTCTGTTATGTTACTACAATGTTTAAGGAGAACATCCCTCATGTTAAAAAAAACAAACAACCTACTGCCATCAAGTTGATTATGACTGATGGTGACCCTATAGGACAGAATAGAACTGTCTCACAGGGTTTCCAAGGCTATAAATCTTTACAGAAGCAGACTGCCTCACCTTTCTTCCATGGAGCAGATGGTGGGTTCCAACTATCAGCCTTTTGGTTACCCTTCAAATGCTTTAACCACTGCACCCCCAGCACGCCTTTCATATGCAAAGATACAGTGAAAATAAGAAAGAAGCAACTCTACATTGTTCATACTCTTATAACACAGGAATGAAATAAAGTTGGAACACAGAAGCAATCAGACAAATGAAGAGTAAATCAAGATAAATCAATGAATATTAAATTGTGTCAGTATTACTGCCAGGTATTACCTCAGGTTTGGGCCCTGCTTCATGTTAATAAGAATATAATACATAATACCACATGTAAAGGAGGCAACAAGCAATCAAAGGCAGAGCAACATATGATTTTGCATGTTTTATCGGGCAATGGATGAAATCAACAGCGCTTTCAGAATCAAACAGATACCTCTGGAATGGGATCGAGTTATAAATAAAAGGAATATAGTGAAACTGCATAGTCCAGAAACCCACTAGCATGGTAATGACCAAAAAAAATGGACAATCTACTTCCATAGTGATTCTGCCTCGGAAACCCAAGGAGGGGTCACTGTGAGTCGGATCTGACTCCACGGCAGTGAGTTGCATTTTTTCCCGAGTGCTCGTGCATCTTTGTCGCCTCACCTGACACCACTGTGACATGTGACAAACCAGGACTGGGAGAAACCAAAGCTCATTATCCTGATGACTTCACTGCCTATGACTGCTAGCAATTATGTCTGCCTGGTCCCTCAAATGTTGTTCTTGTGCCTGGCTAGTATCAAAAAAGGTCAAATCTTCCCAAAAAGTAGCAAGATTTAGGAGATGGAGTCTGATTCCATTCAAATTTATGATCCTGAATGTAACTAGGCCCTAAGCATTGCTTATTAATCTTTATAATCATCCTTGGTAAGGAACATTTCGTACTCCCCTCAGCAACTATCCCAAACCTCAGTTTCCATTTTTTTTTCCACTCAGTAGAACATACCTTTTACTTAACCTTGAAACCTAAGTAATCAAGAGTGACCTGCCTTACCTTCCCTTTTCCCTCACCTCCAGTGGACATTACTACCTCTACCCCATCTACTCTTTCCTTCGTCTCTAAATCTCTTCAGGGAAGAGGTAGTCATTTCACTTTTCAAGACACTACACCCAATTTCTTCTTGGGTACCTTGCTTACTAATTCCTCACAAAACCATTTTTGTTTTATTTTACCTGAGAGGTGGGAGGCAGCAGATTAAAAACATGTAGAAGTATTATTAACTAAACTTTTTTCTTTGGTCCTAAAATTTGAAACAAACTGAAACAGATGAAATGAACTATACATCAAACTGGTAACATCACCTCACAAAAAAAAAAAAAAAGACTGTTTTCAAATGGCTCAAGAACTCAGAATTTTGACTATACACCCCCACTGTGATGCACTAAAGGAAAAAATGATCTATCAGCAGCTTTTAAAAATTTTAAACTTCATTCAATAATTTCATTCTTTAAGATAATATCAATCAAATTTGTTATTTTAAAACTCGTATTCTGTAGGGAAAAACAATTTTCTTAGAGATTATATATTATAGTGGCAGAGGAGAATATTTTCAGTCCTAGGACATAAATGTTTAAGTATTTAGGAGTGATGTGTTATGATGTCTCCAACTCAATTAAACAGTAGAGAGACAAAAAAAACCAAACTCACTGCCGTTGAGTCAATTCAACTCATAGCAACCCCTCCTTAGGTTTCCGAGGCCATATCTCTACAGAAGTTGATTGCCCAATCTTCCTTCCAAGGAGTGGCTGGTGGGTTTGAACTGCCAGCCTTCTGGTCAGCAGTCAAACGCCTTAGGCACTGCAAGTTCTAACGGTATATGGTTGTTCACAATGCTGCTCTTTCAACTTTTACATATGTTTGAAATTTTTTTTAAGAAAAGCTAGCATGTACAAAATTATTTCATTTTGGTAAAAAATGCATTTTCTATGCATATGTACTTAGAGAAAGATGTGTTGTTATACATCCTAAATTAGGCTGATAGTAAAAGTATTACTTTCTTATCTGTAATTACTTACGTTTTCTAAGTTTCTACAAATGCTAGTAAAGAGATGAAAAAGAGAAGTAGAGAGAGAAGGCACTAAAAACATACAACAACTGTTGTAAGGCTTTAAGGATAATTTTGCGGGAAAAGATGTAAACACATAATGGCAGGCTTCACAAACCTAAGCAGCAATTTAACAGAAGACAACAGGAGGAAGACACTGCATTGCTAGCACCAGAGCGAACTTTCTGACATTGAAGTTACTCAACAGAATGACTGTCTGCAATAAAGGTCTGATCTCCCATCACTCTATTATTTAAATAAAGCCTAGAAATCACCTGTAATGTTTAAAATTGATGAATGACTGGACTAGATCATCCAAAAAATCATAGCACTATAATTCTGAGAATTCTAATTTTTTAAAAAAAATTTTATTGTGATTTGGGTGCAAATTTACAAAGCAGATTCATTTTACTCTCAACAGTTCATGCACATCTGGTTTCACGCCCCGATTACAATCCCAACAATAACAAGATCTCTTCCCACTCCTCCCTGTGCCCTTCTTATCTATGCATTCCTGTCTGTCCAGCTTACCCTCTAAGCAAATGCTGCCCTTCTAATGTCCCACTGTTGATTGATCTAAGGGGTACATATCCCTAGGGTAGGTGGGTACATATCCCTGGGGTAGGAGTTCTGCTTGTAAGTCTTTTCTACTGTTCAGCTGAGATAGTCCACAGAAATGAGTCCAGTTCGAAGCCCGAACTGGAGGTTCCACCAGTCTCTATCCAACCAGTAATTCTGGTCATTTTTGTGTTTTTGAATTTTGTTGCACATTTTTCCTTAAACTAACTAATTTTAACTTACCAACATCCATTGCAGTTTCCATGAAGCTTTTCTGTCGTGAAGCAAACTCTGCAAGCAATTTCTGCTGCCTCTCTCTAGCCTTTTGTCGCCTAGATTAAACAGAAACAGAGTGATAAGGACCAGACATGCTAAGACTTTCCTGACATCTTTCAAAGGTATATATTATAAAAGCACACAGTTGAAAGCACTCTGTTTTCTATAGTATGCATTAAGTGTCATATTAGAGTTTACCGTCCTAAACTGTGGTCAATGTCATGAGACAAAGTATATGTGAACTGCTGTATGGAAAGTGAATTTGCTCTGTAAACCTTCACCCAAATCACAATTAGGGAAAAAAAAAAAAAAAAATGTTTACCATCCTTTAGAGGATTCCAGTATTTTACAAAAGTTTGACATAAAAGCCAAGATTTCACTTTAAATTATAAAGTAATTAAAGTAGATAGAAAATTTGGATTTCCAACATGATTTCCTAAGTATATGTTAGTTGGTTACAAGAGTAATGTTAGTGCTGCTATAAAATAAATACCACACGTGGATGGCTTTAACAAACACAGATTTAGTCTCTTAGAGTTTAAGAGGCTAGAAGTCCAAGTTCAAAGTGCTGGTTCTAGGGGCCAGGTGAAGGCTGCACAACCCTGGATTTCAGCTCTGCCTCCTATTCCAGGCCCACTAGAGCTGGAGGTTTTTTTGGACTCACACAGTTGCTGCCTGCTGAAGCTGAGGAACCCAAGATCAGCACGTAAAATGGCAGTGCCAAGATTAGCAGGCAACATGGCAGGCCACTAGTTCAAGTTCAGGAACAAGCCCAGGATTGGCAGGTAATACAGGCAGACCACTGAGATGAAGACTCAGCCAATGGCCAGATTCAGATGTGCCGAAAGCCAGAGACCTTCCTCCAAGCTTCTTATACACTGGAAGCAGACCACACCCCAAAGGCAACTACTTAGCTGCTCACAGGTGATTACAAACCCATCACAGGGAATAATTACATTCAGCTGCTCTGCCACTCAAAACCACAGCCTAGCCAAGTTGACAGATAACCTCACTTACTACCAGTAAGAAGAGGCTATTTTAACAAGGAACTAACAATTTCATCTCCAGCACAAATAATAGCAAATTGCTTGCTAGAAGCAGCTATGGTGTTTAGATATGAATAGAATCTAGAAAATAAGGATTGCCAAATTTACTATTATTCTTAAGAAAATGGCTCTCCTTTAGATATAGAATGAGCAGAAGCTAAGAAGTTTCTCAATTTCTACTAAGAGATATTCCAAACTTGATTTAATTTGTTTGAAGTTAAAAACCTTAAATATCCCAAATCCAACATAAACAATAAAACTATATTCCAAATCTAAGCATAAATATTCCCTTGGATTAATTCATTCTATTCTGTTTATTATCTATCCTTTATCAACTTCCAAAATAGAGTAAATTTTAATATTTAAGATTGGTTGTCAAAAAAATCAGTACAATAATGTAAGAATAAGATAATAAAAGTAAATTAATAAAAGGGAATATAGCTTAGACATAACCAAACACCTCACAGAATTGGGTTACTGGCTTTGAGGGCTTAGAACCATACTCTCAGGGGGAAGGGGAGGCAAGCTGGACAATTGGCATTACATAGCTCATAAAAGTAATATTCTACATCCCAGGTTGGTGAGCAATGTCTGGGGTCTTAAAAGCTTCTGAGAAACCATCTAACTTACAACTATTAGATTCTAAGTGTCTGGAGCAAAAGACAAAGAAGGAATCCAAAGACTCAAAGAAGAAACTAGTTAATAGGGCTAAAGTCTACACAGATCACAGCCTCACCTGCCTTGAGACCAGGAGAAATATATGGTGTCCTGAAGCCAGTAACTACCATTCCAACCGTGACACAATAGATGGTCCCAGACAGAATGAGGAAAAAATGTAGAACAAAACCTAAATTCCTAAAAAAAGCTATGCTTACTGGACTTGTAGAGATGACAGGAACCCTCAAGACTCTTGCTCTGAGATATCCTTTAAACTTGGAACTCACACCACTCCTGGAGTCACTCATCAGCCAAAAGACTGATAATATTATAATTATCTAACTGATAATATTATGGTAATATAAGACTGATTATCATAAATAATATCACCTGTGAGTACTGTGCTCCTCTAAACAATCACCTAAATGATCTAATAGTCCACATTTACCCTAGACCAAAGATAAAAAGGTAAAGGAGGGGGTGGTGGAATAAGGAAGCTAGATTAATGGAAATAGAACAACTAGAATAGAAATAATGAGAATGCTGACACACTGTGAAAAGTGTAACCAATGTCACTGAATAACAAGTACAGAAATTATTAAATGACAACCTAATTTGCTATGTAAACTTTCTCCAAAATCACAATATTAAAAAAAAAAAGTATAAAATAAAAAGAAGGGAGATGGGCTTCCCTGATTGCAGGATGCCAGTGAGTATAAACCATACCCTGGCAGAAAAAGTCACAATAAACATTTAAAACAAGAGGAGAGGGAGAGGAAGAAGAAACATTTAAAAGTGAGTTATGGGAGAGACAAACATTTTACGTGAACAAAACTCAAGCAGGAATTTACCACTGCCCATGATACAAAGAACATTAACAATTTAATGGAAAGAGTACAGTTCAGTAGTTTCTTTTAATTGATGTCCAAAATAATGTTCAAAAGCTTTTTAACACTGATTTTTTTTTTTAACATTTATTTTAATGACAATGTAACCCAAAGGTCAGCAACTCAAACCCACCAGCTGTTCCGCGGGAAAAAGATGAGGCAGTCTGCTTCAGTAAAGATTTAGTTTGGGAAAACCTGTGGGACAATTCCACTCTGTCCTATAGGGTCACTATGAGCCGGAATCAATTTGATGGCAGGGGGTTTGGTTTTGGTTAAAAACAATTTAGGACACACGAAAGAAAACTTGCTTAACTATACCAACAACTCCTATTTTTTATATTGTTTTTGAGCCAATATATTTACCCAGCTTGACCACTTACCTTATTAAACTTAACTCTCTAATATTGGCTGTTTCAAACAATTAAATCCACCCTTCCCTCCTCTTCCTTTCCTGAACACGGAGGATGGCAACAGTGGCCCAGCACAGGGTGTTAGGACTCAACAACTTAGTATAGGAGGGTATTTGTGTCAGGGGAGATTACAGTAAATGGGTAACATACAAGGGAATTGATCAAAAGAGTAACATGTATTAAGGATAATGGGTTCTAGGTTTCTCATTGTGGGAGTAGGGAGTTACAGAAATGAAAGAGAAAACAAAAACAATCCCTATGGTGGTGTGGATTAGAACTGAAGATACCAAAGTATACTCATAGTTTTGAATACACAGAGATATAAAAATAAATATCAATCTCTTTCCTTCTCTCTCTTACACACACACTCTCTTGCTGTTTCATTAAAATGAAAGTGAATAGTCATCCAAAGTGCAACTAGTGATCTCTCATGGAAGCAGTAGTTAAGAAATCAGACTGAACTGGGAAAATCTGCTGCAAAAGACCTCTTTAAAGTGTTGAAAAGCAAAGATATCACTTTGAAGAGTAAGTAAGGTGTGCCTAACCCAAACCATGGTATTTTCAATGACCTCATATGCATGTGAAAACTGCACAATGAATAAGGAATACCAACAAAGAGCTGATGCTTTTGAATTAAGGTGCTGGTAAAGAAAATACCAAGGACTGTCAGAAGAACAAATAAATCTGTCCTGGAAGAACTGCAGCCAGAATATTCCTTGGAAGCAAAAATGGCCAGACTTTGTCTCACTTACTTTGGTTATGCTATCAGAAGGGAACACTTCCTAGAGAAGGATATCATGCTGGGTAAAGTGCAGGGTCAGTGAAAAGCAGGAAGACCCTCAACAAAATGGATTAACACAGTGGCTGCAACAATGGGCTCAAGTGTGGCAGGGATTATGAGGATGGTGTAGGACCATGTGGTGTTTCATTCTACCATACATAGGGTCATTATAAGTAGGAGCCAATTTGACGGCACCACCCAACAACAGTTTGTCTCTCCCCATCCAAAACAAAGAAGAGTGAAGAAAATCAAAGACATACGGAAACAACTAGTCCAAAAGAACATGTGAACCCCAGTCTCGATGACCTTGAGACAAGAAGAATTTACATAGTACCCGGCTACCACTGCCAAACGATCTGAAAGGGATCATATTAGAATGTTCTGGATAGAGTGGGAGAAAAATGTGGAACAAAACTCAAAATAATAAAATAGACCAGGCTAACTGATACAGACTGGTTGAACCTCCAAGACTAAAACCCTTGATCACCCTTCAAACCTGTAACTGAAGTCACTCCCATGGCCATCCGTACAACAGAAAGGCCTGTAAAGTGAACAATAACACCAGAGAGGTACACATCCCTTAGATTAACTAACCATACAAGATCAAAAGGGTAGCATTTACCCAAGGATAAAGCTCAGAAAGCAGAAAGGGATATAGAAAACAAGGATAAATACAAATGGTAAACATAGGGAAAAATGGGAAAAGTGGTGTCACACTGTGGTGATTGCAATCAATGTCACAGAACAAAATGTGTATGAATTGTTGAATACAAAACCAGTGTGTTCTGTAAAGTTTCACCCAAATCACAATAAAAAGTTAAAAAAAAAAAAAAAAGTTAATGAGGAATGAGATATTATAGTCTCAAAATCTCTCTCCACAAATTAAGTACTAATTACAAAAGGAAAGAAAAAAAAAAAAAAAGTAATAACCTGACAGTAAAGAAATCTGGCAAACACCTTAAACAAGTGACCAAATTAATCCCCAGTAATGAAACAAATCAAAATCATGTAATGCCTAATAAAAACAAAACAAAACAACATTACTGTAATAAAAAGAATAACATTTCTTTAATATGCCTGCCCAAGATGCATAAACTGAATACAAACATAACGGAGACATACCCAAATTGAGAGACATTCTACAATGTCACTGCCCTGTAATCTTCAAAAGTGCCAATGTCATGAAAGTGAAAGAAAGGCTAAAAAAGTATTCCAGACTGAAGGAGACTAAAGAGACACAACAACTATGTAATCCATAACCATGGGCTAGATGCC